CTTTTGGATTAGCAAATGTATTGTATAAAAAAATGGAAAAGTTTCAATATGGTTTTTTCATGTTATTTTGTTTATTATAAATGTTACAATTATGTGGAAAAGACCTATTAAATATTCCAAAATACGTAAGAAGAGATGTAATAACTTTTAAAAATTACTGAAAGGGTTAATATTGAAATAGATTTAGTACAATTTAGGTTTCACCTAAGAGGATATACATCGCGATAAAAAAACATGAATTTTTAAGCTGAATACGAATATTCATAGTTGTAGGATTTCGCTGTGTTATTACAGTCATTTACTTACGTTTATATTTATACGTTCATTTGAATAGGAAATACGTAAGTTTCATACATATATAAATATATATTATCATTATATTATATTTATGAAGAAGAAAATAATACACGATTGTCTCTACAGCTACTCTAACTGCCTATATGAATTTATATTTCTGCATAACAATGATTTCGAGTATTCAAGTTTTTAAAATTGTACTCTAGATTTTCCTATACAATATTTTGTATCTTCAAATTGTTAACCCTTTTAATATTTATATATTAATTCACTTACACGATGTTGAATTGTAAATATAAACCGTTCTTGGGTTAAACAAGTTAAACTTGCAACAAAATATCGTCGATTCGCAAGAACAATGACATAATTGGAAATTTTTTATTTTATATATATATTCAGATTTCAGAAATATATTTTATTTCTTTCGATAATAAAAATTTGAAGAACGTGCCATTTTTGGTAATTTGACGATAATTTTATCTCCTTATATCAGATTTCTTTGTGAAATTGAAATATTGGATCGTAAAGGAAATAGGTTCGATAATCGATGCAGTTATTTTATTTTATTCGACAGCGCTGGAATAAGACTATTTGTTAGAAGAACCTTTTCCAAGTAATGAAACGTCAGATTGGACAAATACCCGTACTCTTAGTTGGATACTAAACTTCGAAATTTGTGTTTCGATAAGGAACAAGCAACAAATTTCAGACCTCAGATGGAAGGTTCGACTCTATTTGCCCTATAAACCGGAATAGCCTCACTATCGTGCTATATTCAGTATCACTAAACTGCAATACTCTTCTTTCAGAAACCTGAACCTTTTATCAACCAAAAACAGCAAGGATTTTATTTTTAAAATTTAGAAACTATTAAAGATCAAAATAAACGATTGAAGAATTCGATTCCAAATTTACAAGATGAAAATTCAATTCTTTCGACTAAATGAGAATTATAGTAAGAAAATTAATTTTCTTTCGCAATTCTGTCATTGTTCTCCGCTTTTTTTACACGATTATCCAGAAACAGACACGTTTCACAAAAAATATATAAATTTCGAACCAGCTCAGAGCACGAAGGAAAAATAAAGAGATAAAAAGAAGGAACTATCAGACGTAGGTGCACACACGAAAGACACGAAAAGTCGTGAACACCAGGGGTCGAAAGATCTCCCCGTATCGATAGAGAACTTTTACTGCGAATTTTATCGCGTGCACTGCCGCAGACATTCCGATGTTTTTCCATTCCCGAAACATTTCCACGGAATCGGAAAAGCTGGCGAGTTCGTCAACGAGATACGAGACACCGATCGTAACGTATCGAAAACAACCCCCTTAACAACGTTTTAAAATTGTCTAACGCTTTCCAGCAATTGGGAACCTAAGTGATAACCACGGTCATTCCTGGCTCGAACACTGTTTCGAATATTGTAATTGTAAATACTGTATCACGAATCCTCGGATATGGATAAAAAAAAGGAAGAACAACGTATTATCGTTGCTCCACATCGACATGTATTGTTATCACTCTGTTATCACTGTTGAAACAGAGATAAACGAACGAGGGCAGGAATCTCGAGATCTTTGCCCGGATGGAACGACACCCCTTTTCCGTCTGAATATTCGTATTTTTTATTTTTTGTGTCGATGATTAATCTTTGACCGGTGGGGTGATCGTTTTATTACGTAGAGACGGTAAATAGACACGATGAAATTTATATATAGGAAACTTCGAAGGGAAGTTTGATAGAAAAAAAGAAAAAGAAATGGAAAATCGAAGATGTATGTCGATTTTTCGACGAGTACAAAAGAGAAATCCAAAAAATAGTTGTATATATTGATAGTAACACACGTATGAAAAGGGGTAGTTGGATGTCTAGAAAACTTTTTTTTCACGCCTTCCATATATTTTGAAAGAGAACCCATAGATTTTCATATTGTTCATCCTCGAGTGTGTTATGGATTTCGAAATATTAAAAAAAAAAAAAAAAAAAAAAAAAA